ACTCTGTCCCAGCCTGGAGCTCTGCACCATGTTTGGCTTTGGGTTCTTCACTTCTCTGCCTGTTGCTTTTGAAGATGTCCCAGGAAAAGCCCAAACTGGAGTTATTCACTTGCCCATTCCTCTGTTTCCTCAGGCATTTCAGAGTTTGCCAACTCTCCTGACCAAGTCAGTGACTACATTTCTCCCCTGCTGAGCTTTGCTGCTGAACATGTGCCACGTGCCAAGCACAAAGAGACTCCTCTCTACATCCTGTGCACTGCAGGGATGAGGATTCTGCCCGAGAGGTGATTTCTTGCCCAGTTTTTTGGCATTCAGCACAGCAATCCTGGGGGGATCTGAGTTTTTCTAACCCCTTCCCTGTCACTTTGCAGCCAGCAGAAGGCAATACTTGAGGATCTCCTCACTGACATCCCTGTGCACTTTGATTTTCTCTTCTCAGACTCCCATGCAGAGGTGATTTCAGGGAAGCAGGAAGGTAGGATAACCTTGGGAAAGTTCTCTTTGGAATGTTTATGACTTTCATGGTACAGCTTTGGGTTTTTTTTCTGTTGCTTTATACAATTCTGGGTTGCTTGAGAGACTTCATTGCTCAGCAGCAACATATGGAGTGTGGAGGTGATGAGCTGTTGGGATCTTCTAACTTGGCTTGGTGTTTTGTAATTAGCAGTGAAAATAACTTCTCTGGGTTTAGGAGGAATTTCAGTCTATCTTCTCTGGCTGTGGGGAAGGATAAGGCACAGCTCTTGGTGGCAGAAGCTTTGCAGGGGGAAATGGTTTGTAAGGGAGGAAAATTTTGATGTGCTCAAGTCACTTAAAATCACTTTGAAAGCCAATGAGCTTCATTTTGTGGTAAATTAACACAGCAAACTGTCTTTACTACACTTAATTAAGCCTTTTTTCATAGCCTTGACCCGGGAGAGAAGAACTAGAGTCACTCCTCAGGTTTTACTGAGTTCTCAGGAGTGTTTAACTCCTAAGTATTTTCTATACTATAACATGAGCAATAATATATCTTAACTCCATAGAGAAAAATCTCTCTGTGTTTGTAAGATGATATTCCTGGAATATCCCAACCTGTTTCCTTATGCTTTGTAGGAGTCTATGCATGGATTGGCATCAACTTTGTCCTTGGAAGATTTGAGCACACAGATGATGGTGAGGAGCTCTCAGGGGGGTTGGGAGGGACCTGAGGTGATTCCCTGTGCTCTCAGCTGGGGAGTCTTCAGACAGATGTTGGGGACTGGTGTGGTTTGAGACAGATGTTGGGGACTGGTGTGTGTGCAGGTGTGTTTTGGGCAGATGTTGGGAACTCTATAGCTGTGTTTTTAGATAGATGTTGGTGCCTGCAAGTGTGTTTTTGGGCAGCTGTTGGGGACTGCAGGTGTGTTGGACAGATGTTGGGGACTGATGTGCTGTCAGACAGATGTTGGGGACTGGTGTGTGTGCAGGTGTGTTGTCCAACAGATGTTGGTGACTGCAGGTGTGTTTTTGGAATGATGCTGATGACTGGTTTTGGACAGATGGTGGGGACTAGTGTGTTTTCAGACAGGTGTTGGGGACTGGTGTGTGTGCAGGTGTGTTGTCCAACAGATGTTGGTGACTGCAGGTGTGTTTTTGGAATGATGCTGATGACTGGTTTTGGACAGATGGTGGGGACTAGTGTGTTTTCAGACAGGTGTTGGGGACTGGTGTGTGTGCAGGTGTGTTGTCCAACAGATGTTGGGGACTAGTGTGTGTTTAGACAGATGTTGGTCACTGCAGGAGTGTTTTTAGACAGATATTGGTGACTAGTGTGTTGTCAGACAGATGTTGATGACTGCAGGAGTGTTTTTGGACTGATGCTGGTGACTGTAGTGTGTGCAGGTGTGTTTTTGGACAGATACTGGAGACTGCAGGTATGTTTTTGGACTGATGCTGGTCCCTGCAGCTGTTTTTTGGACAGATGCTGGGGACTGCAAGTTTTTTGGACTGAATCTGTGGACTGCTGTGTGTGCAGCTGTTTTTTGGACTGATGCTGGTGACTGCAGCTGTGTTTTTGGACTGATGCTGGTCCCTGCAGTTATGTTTTTGGACTGATGTTGGGGACTGCTGTGTGTACAGGTGTGTTTTTGGATAGCTGGTGGTGACTGTTTCCAGACAAATGTTGGTGACTGCAGGTCTGTTTCCAGACAGATGTTGGGGACTAGTGTGTATTCAGATATGTTAGGAACTGGTGTGTGTGCAGGTGTGTTTCTGGATAGATGCTGGGGACTGGTGTGACTGCAGCTGTGTTTTTGGACTGATGCTGGTCCCTGCAGCAGTTTTTTGGACTGGTGCTGGGGACTGCAAGTTTTTTGGACTGATGCTGGTCCCTGCAGCAGTTTTTTGGACTGATGCTGGGGACTGCAAGTTTTTTGGACTGATGCTGGTCCCTGCAGCAGTTTTTTGGACTGATGCTGGGGACTGCAAGTTTTTTGGACTGATGCTGAGGACTGCTGTATGTACAGCTCTGCTGTCAAGCAGCTGCTGGTCCCTGCTGCCTGTGCATGTGCTGCTTTGCCTGTTGGCCCACGAAACTCTCCCTCCCTCCCTCGCTCATCCCTGGAGCTGCCTGCTCAGCCTGGGGCTCAGCCCCTGGCCCTGCAGCCCTGCTGTGCCTGTCCCTGCAGAGGCTGAGGCCGTGGTAGAGGTGCAGGTGCCAGGCAGTGAGAGCAGAGAGTCCATCCTACGCAGAAGGACCGTGGGAATCCTGGATATGGGTGGAGTGTCCACGCAGATTGCCTACGAAGTCCCTAAAACTGTAAGCTTTGCCTCTTCAGAGCAGGTTATTATCTGTGCAACTTTCCTCTTTTGCCTTTTGGTTTTGTTTTTTGTTTGTTTTTGTGCAGATTCCTTTTTTGTTCCCTTTGGTTTGAGTCCTCCATCCCATCCCATCCCATCCCCAGGAGACGAAGGCAAACACGAAGCTTCCACCAGCTAAGCAATTCATTTGTGTTTTCTTCATCCCAAAGTTGATTTCCATCACTCAAATTACCCATTTTCAAGTTTTGTTCTTTGTGTGTGTGTGCATGTGCAAGTTTTCCATCTGTTATACTTAACAAAACTGCATTTTGGAGCTTAGAAACCCAAATTTTGTGGTGGTTCTTATGTAAGGACTTATATAAGCTGTGATTTTTGTCCTTTCAGTTGTGTTGCTTGAACTGAATTAAGAGGACTTGGGGGTGACAGTGCAACTTGGGTAGAATTCACCTACACCCTCAGCACAGTTCAGCTGGTGTAGGAAGCAGATTTATGAATACAAATCTGAAATGGACCATAAATTGCTCCAATCCACTGAGTTCTAAACCAAACCCTGATTTTTGTGGGTTTTTTTTAAGCCAAACTTCCTGTTAAATCAACTGAGAATTATCTAAAGCACCAACAGCATAAAAATCCCCAACTTTGGGCTCTCAGTGGAGTGTAACAGTGATGGATATGTTGATTTTCTCAGCTCTCCCTGTGCAATGATGAGTTTGCATCATTACAGCTGTTAATAACCACTCACAGAGGGTGCAACAAATCATTTGGGCTGTTAAACAAAGGTTTGGGGGAATTAGATGCTGAGCAGATTGTGCCAGGCAGAGATGAACTGGGAGTGGGAAGAGTTGCAGACAATTGCTGAGTGTTGTGTGGCTCCATCTCAACATCACTGGAAGTAAAATGGGAATACTGGTTATGGAACCTGTCCTGGCCATCAGTTTAGATCAGTCAGGATTGGCACATTTTGTTCAGGAGCCACAACACAGTTTTTTCATGGGAGAAGATACCTCAGGAGTGTTCCTGATCTTTGGAATCCCTTCAGTAGTGACAGTGCAGCTCTCTGCAGTGAACACCTTCTGCTCTCTAATGCAGCTGATCTCTTGCTCCTTCACAAATTGTATGGGAGATGATCATCCCTGAGGGAATATTTGGATGGTAAAGGGTTGTCCAGCCCTGGCACAGACTGCCCAGGTCAGGGGTGGAATCACCATCCCTGGGAGTGCTCAGAAAACATGGGAATGTGGCACTGGGGGATGTGGTTAGTGCTGGACATGGTGGTGGTCAGAGAGTCATAGAATTTTAGGGGTTGGAATGAACCTTAGAGATCATTTAGTCTCAACCTCCTGCCCTGGGCAGGGACATCTCCCAGCAGAGCAGGTTGCTCAAGACTTCATCCAACCTGGAATGAACATTGCCAGGGTTGGGGCAATGATCTTCAAGGTCTTTTCCAGCCTTAAAGATTCCATGATTCTGGGATTCCATGTGGATCTATGAGATGGAAAAAGAGATGTGGAAGGAGTGAAGGTTAAGGATGTCAAAGCCACCAAGTTGTGCCCAGAACTCATCTTAGGGTCTGGTTGATACTGTGGACACCTAACCTTGAGGCTTGTGTTGGTGCAGGAGGAAGTAGCCAAGAACTTACTGGCAGAGTTCAACCTTGGCTGTGATGCTCATCAGACTGAGCATGTGTACAGGGTCTACGTGGCAACATTCCTGGGATTTGGAGGGAATGCAGCTCGGCAGAGATACGAGGAGAGTCTGTTTGCCAGCACAGTGCTCAAAAACAGGTACCTGCCTTCAGCTCCATGGGGTTTCTTCAGGGAAGTTGTAGATTCCTCATCCCTGGAAGTGTTCCAGGCCAGGTTGGATGGAGGCTGGAGCAATCTGGGCTAGTGGAAGGTGTCCCTGCCCATGGCAGGGGTGGAGCAAAGTAGGGATGATCCTGGAGAAGAGAAGGTTGTGTGGAGACCTCAGTGTCTGAAGGGAAGGAAGGATCTCCAGGGAAGCTGCAGAGGGACTCTTCCTCTGGAACTGGAGTGATAGGACAAGGGGGAACGGGTTCAGACTGAAAGAGGGGAAATTTAGATGGGATATTGGGAAGAAATTCTCCCTGTGAGGGTGGGGAGACACTGGCACAGTTTGCTCAGAGGAGCTGTGGCTGTTCCATCCCTGGGAGTGTTCCAGGCCAGGTTGGATGGGGCTTGGAGCAACCAGAGCTAGTGGAAGGTGTCCCTGCCCATGGCAGGGGGTGGAACTGGATAATTTGAAGGTCCTTCCAGGCCAAACCAATCTGATGTGTGTTCTATGCACCACTAGCCTCATAACTCCCTCACTCATATATGTAGTGAATTGTCCTGACATAAAACTGCATTTCCACACGTGCCACGAGCACTGCTGAGGCTTCTTCAGCTGAGGATGCTTTGGGTGATGCTGTTGTGGCTTAACATTTAGACATTGGAATGTGCTGCCCAGGGAGGTGGTGGAGTCACCATCCCTGGAGGTGTCCAGGGAAGGACTGGGGGTAGCACTCAGTGCTCTGGTGGTGATGGGTCACAGGTTGGACTTGATGATCTTGGAGGACTTTTCCAACCTCAATGATTGTGTTTCTGACCTGCATGTGGTTTTTCCCTCTTTCCCACAGAGTGCTGGGCAGACAGACTGGCCTGAGCTCTGACTCCCCTTACCTGGACCCCTGCCTGCCCCTGGATGCTGAGGACGAGATCCAACAGAATGGACAGGTCCTGTACTTAAGGGGAACAGGAGATTTTCACCTGTGCAGGGAAATCCTTCAACCCTTCATGAACAAGACCAATGAAACCCAGACATCCCTCAATGGGGTCTACCAACCTGCTGTGCATTTCCAGAACAGTGAGTTCTATGGTTTCTCAGAGTTCTACTACTGCACAGAGGACGTGTTACGTATGGGAGGAGATTACAACGCTGCTAAATTCACCAAGGCTGCAAAGGTAAAGTCTTCTGCAGGTCCATTTTCTCCTCTCTAGTTGCATTTTATTGCAAAGGTTCTTACAGGAAAAATTTTTCTTTTCAAGATCCCAAATTCTTTTCCTTGCAGTGAACTAGCTCAGTGCATCTCTGGTCCTCATCCAGGCCAGGTTGGATAGGATTTGGAGCTACCTGTGTTAGTGGGAGGAGTCCCTACCTATAGTTGGAATAAGATGATCTTTAAGGTTTTATCCAACCCAAACCATCCCATGGTTCTGGGATTGGATTTTCTTCTAGGTTTAAGACTCAACAGTAAAATTGCCTGGAGAGGGAATGGGATTTGGGGGTATCAATTTCCAGCAGGAACTGCTGACTATGGGAAAATCCATGTTGCTTCCACCCCTTGCTGCTTCATGGGAGTGCCTTAATTATTAGAAGAAAAAAATCCTTTTCCTCCTGATTTCTACATTTTGTGCCCCTTTTCCAGGTGTTACTCTCACAGTTGAGGCCGCTGGAAGTAAAACCCCAACAGGAAGCAGAGGAATAAGCCAATTTGTCACTACCCTAACACCACTTGGCTATTTTGCACCTCCTAAAGAGTTTTAAGTGCTACTGGGTATTAATTTAACCACTAATAGTCATGGAACCACAAGTATTCATTGAATACAAATACTTATTGAACCACAAGTATTAACTGAACCACAAATTCCACGTGTGGATCAAAATGTTCCAGAGAACACCATGAAATCTGTGGTTTCCCTTATTGGCACTGCCAGGGAAGCTGTTTTATTTCCACCTGTTGGAATTTCAGGGCATCATACCTAGTGGCATTTTTGCCTCCTAAAGGAAGGAGCAAAGCTGCAATGTTCCTTTTCCCTATGGTTTTATTTCCCTGCAGGATTACTGTGGCACTAAGTGGTCTGTGCTCCGGGAACGTTTTGACCGTGGCCTTTATGCATCACATGCTGATCTGCACAGATTGAAGTGAGTAGTTGTGTTTGGACAGCAAATTCCTCACCCCTGCAGAGCTGCCAAAGGCTATTTCCAAACCAGCCATTAAACAAAATTATTGGAAATGTGGATAAAACCTGAGGATTGTGTGTCTAACTGTGCTCCTCATCCTTTGGGATGCTGCAGCTGCTGCCTGACCTCGTCCCACTCTTCCCCCAGGTACCAGTGTTTTAAGTCAGCCTGGATGTATGAAGTGTTCCACAGTGGTTTCTCCTTCCCTGTGGGTTACAGCAACCTGAAAACAGCTCTGCAGGTGTATGACAAGGAGGTGCAGTGGACACTGGGAGCTATTCTGTACCGCACGCGATTCCTGCCGCTCCGGTACGGGAGAGAGACTGGGAAAGGGAAAGGGAGAGGGGAGAAGGGAAGAGAAAAGAGGAGAAGGGAGGGAAGGTTAGGGAAGAGAGGAGAGAAGGGGAAAGGGAGAAGGGAGGGAAGGTTAGGGAAGAGAGAGAAGGGAAGGGGAAGGGAAAGGGGAGAAGGGAGGGAAGGGAGAGGAGAGAAGGGAATGGGAAAGGGGAGAAGAGAAGGAAGGTTAGGGAAGAGATAAGGGAAGGGGGAAGGAAAGGGGAAAGGAGAAGGGAAAAGGGAGAAGGGAGGGAAGGGAGAGGAGAGAAGGGAAGGGAGGGGAAAGGGGAGGGAAAGGGAAAAGGAAAAAAGGGGAAGGGAAAAGGAAAGGGAAAAGGAAATGGAAAAGGAAAAAAGGGGAAGGGAAAAGGAAAGGGAAGGGGGAGAGAGGGGAAAGGGGAAGGGAAAGGAAAGGGAAAGGGAAAGGGAGAGGAGAGAAGGAGGAGAGAAGGGAAGGGAGGGGAAAGGGAAGGGGAAGGGAAGAGGGAGGGGAAGAGGGAAGGGAAGGGAAAGGGAAAAGAGAAGGGGAAGGGAAAGGGAAAAGAGAAGAGGAAGGGAAAGGAAAGGGGAAGAGAAAGGGAAAAGAGAAGGGGAAGGGAAAGGAAAGGGGAAGGGAAAGGGAGAGGAGAGAAGGGAAGGGGGGGAAAGAGAAGGGGAAGGGAAAGGGAAAAATAAAATAGAAGGTGAAGGGAAAAGGGAAGGGGAAGGAGGAGGGAAGGGAAAGGGGAAGGGAAAAGGGAAAGGGAAGGGAAATCCCTCCACCAATGCTTTGCATAGCCTTGTACTAAAAGGCTCCATGACTCTGTGCTGAGCCAATTTCCATCCACCTCTCTCACCCATTATCCTTTTATTACTTCCCAGAGACATCCAGCAAGAAAACTTCCGTGGCAGCCACTCCCACTGGAGGAGCTTCTCCTTCGTTTACAATCACTACCTGTTCTTTGCCTGTTTCTTGGTGGTGCTGCTGTCCATCCTGCTCTACCTGCTGAGGCTGCGACGCATCCATCGCCGCACCCTGCGCGGCACCTCCGGTGCCCTCTGGGTCCAGGAGCCTCTCCCTGCACAGAAGATCCCAAGCCCCTTATGAAATGTTGGCATGGAGAACTTCTCATGGACTTGTTCCACTAACAAAACAAAAAAAAGCCATTTTTGCCTCAGGGTTCCTCCTTTTTTTTTTTTTCTTTTTTTTATCCCCCTCGGAAGCAATGGAGAAGTGGATTTGTAGAGTGGGATCAGCCAAGTAGGAAAATGAGGTCAAGGTGGCTTAGTCTCATTAGACAATACCTGCCAAAAATTCCCTTTGTTACAAGATTGCACTTTGGTGTGTAATGGGACAAGCAAGAGCTTGTGGTCAGTCCCTGAGCAGCAGCAGCAGCTCCAGGTAGGGATGGGAAGGGAATGAATGTGAGTTCTCACCCATTGGGTGAGGTGTGGAATCAATCCTAGGGTGAATGAGATGAACTGGTTGGATTCTCATTTCCAGAGTCCAGGATTGATAACAGTTCTCAGTTCTGAGTCTCAGACAAAGAAAAGCTAGTGCAGGGCTTGAAAAAGCAGAAAGAAAACACCCCCTGAGGATGGTTTAGCTGAAAGAAAACACCCCCTGAGGATGGTTTAGCTGATTTTTAATTTTTTTTCCATTCTGGAATCAGGACTGGGATGGAGAAGGAAAATCTCTTGCACCCAATGCTGTGCTTCCAAAAACTGCTCCAATCAGTTTGGCTTCATTGTGACAGTTGCTCCTTTTGTCTTGGAAGCTTTAGCCTCATAGTGACACAAGCCACTGCTTTTTTACTCCTTTATTTCTGGTTCAGAATCATTCAGATGTCCCAGAAACTCCAGGAAGGGGAACTGGAATCCCATGTGTTTCTGCTAGAGTAGCCATGCAGTGTCTGAGTCTCAGATGGGTTAATTTATGTTTTATTTAAAACTCTTCATTTTACTTGAAAGCAGATTTCTCCCTGATTAAAAAAAAAAAAAAGGGATTTCTATGAACCTTTGGTGTGTGGCTATTTTCTTACCCAGTTGGTAAAACTTTTTTTTAGGCTGTTTTTCTGGTGGTTTGTTGGGTTTGTTTTTTTTTTTTTGCTTTGCTTTATTTTTTTCCCTACCCAAAGGTTATTCAAGGGTTCTGGAATAGGAGGAAGAAACTTGTCACATCTCCTGAGGAGAAAACTCTCCCCATCTTCTTCTTGCAACTCCACATAAAGGAGGAAAAACACAAGGAGCCTTTCCATGCCAGCCCTGAATGAAGAAACCTGATTCCTTTAAGAGCTTTAGCAATCCCTGTTTTCACTCTGTGCCTGTTCCTGGGCTCAGATTGCCCAAGCACAAAGGGAATGTTGATGTGTTTGTGTGTGTTTCTGCATTAACATGCTTTGTTTTCTTTCTCCTGCTTCTCCCATTCCCCCTGTCCTTTCTCCAGGTGCATTAGGCACAGGGAAGACATGCAGGGAGCACAGAGGGGAGGGAAGGGCACTGCTCTCTGCCCCATCCCAGTGACCTGGAACGAGGAGAGGAACATCACCAAAGCTTTTGGCTTCATGGCCTCTTAGCTGCAGCACTCTCAGCTTTGCTGGGGTGGGTTTGGGGGTGGAAGATGCTCAGATAGTGGCCCCTAATGGAAGAAGTGGTTGGGAGACAAAGCTATGTCCATGGGAAAGGCAGGGAGTGATGGAGAGGGTGAGGAGGGAGAAAGCACAAGGCTCCTTGGGGAGCACAGGCCTGGAAAAAAAAAGGGGTTGTGTCCCTGCAGCCAACAGCAGTGACCCCATGGGGTGTCAGCCCAGGGACACCTTGTCCTCAGCCCATTGTTTGGGCCATTGTTGCTAGCAAATAATGCATGAAGCTCATTGAGAGCTGAAATGAGCCTCGTGAGGAGCTGCTGTGTCCCTGTCCCTGTGTGAGGACCTGCCCCTGGCAGCTGCTTCTCAGGTCACCTTTGCTTAGAGAATGAGGGGATGGCAGTGACTTTGTCACCTGCTGCTGCTTGAAGGTCTTTGGGTTGGTTATTTCTTAAATACTAAGTGAGTTGTGTTGCTGGAAGTACTTTTTGGAGCCTTCATCTCAGCAACTTGTGTCCTCAGTGTATTTGGGTGTTGTCTGGTACCTCTGTGGCCTGGTTTTCCTGAACTCCAGATGCTTTCCAGGGTCCTGGAAATTACCAACTCTATATTCCTTGCTCCAAAGAATGTGCAGGGTAGGATTTAAGCCTACAGATTTCAGGTGGGTTTTATTCCTAGGTCTCCTGTAGGACACTTGACCAGCAATTCTCTTCTGCTGCTAACTCCAGCACTGGTTTGCAAACCAAATTCCAACAGTGCCAGATTCTTTCCCAAAGATGGAATCTTTAGGTTGCCATGGACAGGCAGAGGAAGGCAATAATCCCAGGGAATTTAGGGCATCCCCTGCCATGAAAGCTGTGTGTCCTTAGCTCCCACAGACAGGGAGGATGTTAATGAAACCATGAGATCAGGCACAGGGGGTTGAAAAGCATCTCCTACATAGCTGTTCCCTTCTGCATCCCATATCCCAGAATCCCAGAACAGCTGGGGTTGGAAAAGACCTCTGGAGATCACCCAGGCAGGGCCACCTGGGGCAGGTGACAGGGACATATCCAGGTGGGTTTGGAATGTCTCCAGACAGAGATTCCACCCCCTCCCTGGGCTCCTGTCCCAGTGCTCTGCCACCTCCATGGGCAGAAGATCTTCCTCAGGTTGAGGTGGAATTTGTTGTGGTTTAGTTTATGGTTATTACTCCTCATCCTGTCACTGGGCACCACTGGAAAGAGTCTGGGACCATCCTCTGGAGACCCCTGGGAGATGTTGGTATGGATTGATGGGATCTCTTCTGAGTCTTCTCCAGTCTAACCAGACCCAGTTCCTACCTCGTCATCAGAGAGATGCTCCAGACCTCAAATCACCTTTGTGGCCTCCACTGGACCCTCGCCAGTAGCTCCTTCTCTTCCCTGACCTGTGGAGACCTCATATCCTGGCCTACAAATTGAGCAACTGGAGCCTCCATCCTTAACAAATTGTTCAAGCTCCTGCCTGGCCCAGAGCCCCCAGCAGAGCCTGTCCCTGCCAGGACATGTCCTTTGCCTGACACAGTGAATCAGCACAAAAACCTCTTCCACCAACTGTTTCCAGAAGGTTTTTTCAGGCTGAGGAGGGATTGGCCTGGGAGGAAAGGAGAGCAGCACTCCATGTTCTCCAGCCTCCCTTGGTATCCTCCAGCACCCCTCAGTGTCCTTCACTGTCTTCCAGCATCCCTTGGTGTCCTTCAGCATCACTTATTGTCCTCCATCCTCCCTTGGTGTCCTCCAGCACCCCTCAGTGTCCTTCACTGTCCTCCAGCATCCCTTGGTGTCCTCCAGCCTCACTAATTTTCCTCCAGCCTCACTCAGTGCTCTCCAGCATCTCTCAGTGTCCTCCAGCATCCTCCTCCTGCCACAGCCACCTTTGTTCTGCTCAGTTCCTCCTCTCCCTTTGCTTTGGACAAAGCACCTCAAAATAGATCCTGCAGCAGTGAAAGGGAGGTCAGCTTTGTCTGCTCAGAGCTCTGCAGGGCCTCAAGTCCTTCCCTGGCCCTCCTCCCTGGCCACAGTGGGTGCTGGCAGAGCTCTGCTTTAGCAGGGGGACTCTTGCCATCTAGTGGGATAGGATGGGAAGCCTCCAAGACCTCTGGTATCCCTTAGGATAAGGCAAAACACAACCCTCTGTCCCAGATTTTCATCCCTGCTGTGGGATTAGCTCATGCTGCTTCCCCCTCCCAGTGCTGTCACTACCTCCAGCTGGATTTCTCCCTCTTTTTCCTTGCTAGAAATCTTACTCTTTGCATATTTTTAGGAGCAGAACTCTGTTTGTGCTGCTCTAGGCTCATCTCCTGGGTAGCCAAGCTGCACAGAGGGAATCTGGCAGGAATCTGCATGGCTGGGGCAGGATGTTGGTTGGATATTCCTTGCCCCCTGGATTCTGTCAGGATTTTGCCTGTGGGAAGTTGCCTTTCAGCACCTGATTTCTTGGCTCAGTGCTCAAAGGCAGAGTAATCCCAGATAGGGAATGCAAAGGACTTGCTAAGTGCCTTGTGCCTGGTTTTCCTTTCTTCTAGGAAAAGCAGAACTCACATTCCAGCTGGGAAATGTCAGTGCTAACTGGGTTCTCCCCCCCATCCTTTTCCTGAAAGGTTAAGGAGGGAAATGCAAGGAAGATACATGTGGTTTTTCTGGGAATGTGCTGCTCTCTTCAAGCTGCCTGGGATGGAGAAGGAGCAGCTGCTGGAGAAGAAAGCAGACACCATCCCTGAGTCTCTGTGCTGCCATGGAAATGTTTCTGCTGGGAGGATTTCTCTGGGATTCAGATTTTCACCCACCTTGGATATGAACCTTATGAGAGATAAGTGTGGCTAATGGGAATTTGTCCTGGAAAGCTGTGGCTGCTCCATCCTTGGGAGTGTTCCAGGTCAGGTTGGATGGGGCTTGGAGCACCCTGAGCTGGTGGAAGGTGTCCCTGCCCCTGGCAGAGGGTGGAATGGGATGAGCTTTAAGGTTTCTTCCAACCCAAACCATTCTAGGATTCTAACCTATAGTAATTCCCATATAGCTTAAACATATGTAAATCAATTGATGCCATTTTTTGAGGGAAGATAAACCCATTTCTTTGGAATTACTGGGATTTTTAGCCATCTAGGATCTGCCTCTCCATTTACACCTTGCAGGAATTTTCCACTGGAGCCACTTGGTGTGAAACTGCCACGTGTCATTCACACCCTTACAGAGCTCTCAGGGCTTTCAGCTCTTCAGGTATCACCGAGATCATCTCTGCAAGGAACAACCTTTATGGAGCTCAGTGCATCTGGAATTGCAAAGGTCAAGTTGCCCCATGGCTCCAGAGAGTCTCCAGGGTGCAAACACAAGGTTTGGGAAGGCAATGAGCCTTCCCTTGTTAAAAGAAGGGAAAATTGGTGGAAGGAGATTACAGGACCTAACAGGCTGTACCTAATTTTTGGGAGCACAGACCATGACTGTGGCTGCTTGGGCCAAGCCAGTCTTGACTTGTCCATGTGGCAAAAGGTGTGTCCTGCAGGCAG